TCGAACAAGAACGCGGAAAGATGTGTTAGTGTCAACGGAGTGACCACTGTCTTGTAAGTGGTCATTAAACTCGTGGTTCCCGTGATCTTCCTTTCATCTCAAATCTTTGTAAATATACTCTCATTATTTGCATGGAAAGTCCCAAATCGTCTATACATTCTAGAGAATTATATAAATAATCTTGGATTAAGTTGGAAAGCATAGTAATTTTATTTCGGTTGTCAGCTGTTAACGTGTGTATCCATTTTTTCCACACCCCATATATTAGCGACCTGCTCGCGGCAATTAGAGTCAGCAGCGTCCCAATGCTGGTAACTGACGGGAGGCGCCAAGACTGAAGATATTCTCCCCAACCTCTCCGTCTCGGTGCCGAATGCAGTGATGAAGCCCTGTTGCCGACAGCACATTAGCATAAAACGTCAACACTGCAGATACCGTAGACATAAGCTGGGATTCCTAACGAGGCGCCGGGGATGGTGAAAGCAATATTATATCTGGACCTCAAATATTTGCACGAAGAAGCGATCAAACGGCCAGGGAGACGCTCGAAACCTGACAGACTACAACTAACTCCATTAATCGCCGTGTGACGCTACCAGTAGCCTACCAAGCTTTACGGGATAAACACAAGAAGCAGAACCACAGACAAGAACTCCGACCAGCCGCTCCAACCGACAGCACAGAGGAGGGCGTAGGACCACCGGACGCAAACACAAATGGGGGGCAAGCGATTTCGACCACAAGCCTACGAGACGGCCAACAGGATGGGAACGCGGGTGAACACGAGCCCACGCCGATAAGAGACGACGGTGACGTTGACTGCCAGGCCGGTAGCAACCGAGACGTCAACGCAAACATGGCAACCGCAATTTGCACCTCATGGGGAAGTTGTGAACGCGGCATGACGTCAGCCGGGCCCAACCTACGAACAATGCAAACCCGATCAATGTCAACTGTCACACCAACGCCACCACCCCCGGACGAGACGAGCCCGCAACCGCA